ACTGACACTGTTTGTGCCTTCACTTTGTTGGTTATTATTATTCACAGCTCATTAAGAAACAGCATTTTCAAAAATAATTTGGGAAGCAAAAATATTTTAAAAATACTTAGGGATTTAGAGGACTCTTCAATGAACATTGTATATAGTTTACCATACATGGTTTCCTTATGAACTTACAGAATAGGCAGCAATTTTTCAAAGAGCTTGATCAAAATGATGTGCACAGACTAAAAAAAATGTAACTTAAAAAGAAACAGAGATGCACTTTTATTATACAAAAACCTTAAGCTTTAATTCTAAAGAAAATAAAAATAAAAATAGTAGCATAGACCAATACTGTTCAATAGCATAGACCAATACTGTTCAATAGAACTTTCTGTGTGGTTGAAATGTTTTAAACCTAAATTGTCCAGTATGGACTTATTAGCATAAGTGACTACCATGCACTTGAAATGTGACTTGTGAGACAGGGGAATTGAATTTTTAATTGGATTAAATTAATTTCAATTGTAAGAGTTGTGTATGATTCACGGTTACCATATTGAATAGGGTGACAATTAACCATATATACATGTTGAAATAAAACATTAAATTTCAAGTATAATGTTTATATTAACCTACTTTTTACTTCTTCTTTGCCTTTTGAAAGGCTTTAAGATTTTAGAAATGATTCAGTGATACATTTTCAAATTTAAGCATTCCACTATAACTGATTTTCCCCATTTTAAAAATGTGTATAATTTTGGACTTGGTAGTAGGACACATCTATTATAATTACTTAGTAACTAAAATGAAAGAACATGTTGACAATATTTTCCCTTAATTTTTATACACTCTAATTAAAGCTCTTTCAGAAGAACTGAGCCTCATCTATTATTTTCAAAGTTATCAGGACATTTTCATTCATTTAATGATGGATCGATCTACAAACCCTTCAGTAAATTGTGTCATATAACCTTGTCTCTCCTCAAAATGAAAAACACTTCAAAATTATTCATTTTTACAGAAGATAAAATTGCTTCTCTTTACTGCACAGCTTCATTAGGCACTCCATTGTCAAGTACACACTAGCTCACTCCAGGCTCAACAAAAGGAAGCAGAAATAGAAATCATGACATTTTCCCCATCAAGTCACCGCTCATAAAACTCTTCAAAAATAGAAAGCATTATGCAAAGTGATATTTTGTTGCTTTAATACATACGTTTCTCACATACCCTATTTGATTGATCTTGATTTTTCAAAAGAAGCAAAAAACAAAAATTTTTTTGATATTAGAAGTCACTGATTAATTTTGACATAATTGAAATTGTTTTTAGAATTTTTATGAACACAAAAGAATAATGAGAGGAAAATCTGAGAGGTTTAGATTAGTACCTCATGGTCACCTAATTTTATGTTGCCTTGTCCAGTGCTAACTTATATTATTGTTTAATAGAATTAGAACTATAGAGAGAATTTTAAACCATTTGAGGCAGGGATTTCCCTGGTGGTCCAGTGACTAGGACTTTGTGCTCCCAGGGGCCTGAGTTCGATCTCTGGTCAGGGAACTAAATCCATATGCTGCAACTAAGTATTCACATGCCACAACTAAGACCTAGTGCAGCTAAATAAATAAGAATAAATACATATTTTTAAATATTTGAGGCAGAAGTATCTTCTATTGGAGATGCTTTATTTCACAGCTCCAACTGGCTAATTCTTTTCACGCATTGGATTTTTGTGTGGGAAGCTTATGACTTCTGTAATAGAGCACTTTTTTACTCAAGAGTCTCTTTTTTTCCTGAGTCTTTATACTAGGAATGAACTTGTCATTGAGTTTTGCAATACATGCTATTTGCATTAAAGAGTACTCTCACTAAATGGTGCTGTGTGCTGGGCTCAGTTGGAACTAGAAAAGAAAATAAGAAATAACCATTTGGCACTAGTCATTAAGCATTGCAACACATAGATAAGGACATGTTAGCTAATCATTTACTTGACAATTCAGACAAGATATTAAAATATTTATATAAATATAAGAATCAGACAATTTAGAAAATTTAGGAAATAACTCATACATTCTCTCTGTGAATGTTAGTATTCAAGCAGACAAATAAACTAGATCATCGCTAATCATGCCACAGGGCACTCATTAAACTGTTTCCATTTGAACTAGAATGGATATTGATTGGAGAGAATTCCTGGTGCTTCCATATGATCACTCAGTCCCTCCTGCTGACATGGTTTAAAATATTTTGAAAAGTGCAATTCAATAGTTATGCTTTGAATCATATTGCCTTAAGATTTTAATTATTGAATTTTATTCTCTATGTGTTAGCTGCCCAGAGATTTATTTCATTTCATAAAAAAAAAAATTTAAAGTCCTTCATGGGTATTATAGTTGATCTTGGTCTTGTAAAGACGTAATAAAACAGTTGAAGCTGCATCACAACAAGACAGAATGTTTGGTTCATCATTATTTTGGCTAGCTTCCTAAGAAGACACATGAGTAAAATACATTTCTGGAATCAAATGAAAGCTTCTAGCATTGGCAGGAGCTACCAGTAAATACATGCCTAATTACTTGTTTTTGACAGGGAGATGTCTGAAATACAACAGAAATGACCATTTGGAAGCTGTCATTAATTGGCAGATCATCAAACAAAACTCATTCTTATTGATTTTGGTTTTGTTAAATTCATCTCCTCCCAATTGTTGGAGGTGTCTGAGCAAGGTGATAGAACTAGCATGGCAAAAAAGGTCACTCCTTCCCCTTATCCCATCTGCTTCATCAATAATAAACTCCCAGAGGCTTCACTGTCATGCCCATTGTTTGAGCTTTTCAAAGTATAGTACGAAGTTAAAAGAAAACTAGTATTTTAAGCACCTACTAATGTGATAGATACTATGCAAATTTTAGGATGAAGAAGGCTCAAAAAACCCGATCACAGTGATCCCATGGCAAGTCCATGTTGTTTATTTATTTCTAAGAACTAAATTGTTCAGTAAAATATGTAGGAAACCAGTATATAGAAATGTATACCATTTAGGCAGAAGCTGAGTGATGGTTTCATATGCCTTAAAAGTTAAAAAGAAAGAGAGAAGACATGATTCATGTACATCAAGACACCTTACTAAATACCATGAAATAAGCATTTTCCTTAATGTTGGATAAAATTTCACTTGAAAATTATATGTGCATCTTTCATTTATGCCAAAAAGATGTGAATTGGATTTCTAAGCAGTGTTTCCTAATCTGAGAAACCTGAAGATGCATTCAGTGAAGGGCTCTAGATGTAACCCAGCCCCCACAGAGTTCATTTTGGGCCACTCCCTTCCCCTTCCTCTTCTGCTGTAGAACTTCATGGAGAATAATCAGAAGTGGGTGAAAGATTATGCATAGAGAGAAAAGGAAGCACGTGTAGGTTGTGAGTAAATATTTGACCTCCCTCCCAGATGTGTGAAAGTGAAGTCGCTCAGTCGTGTCCAACTCTCTGCAACCCCATGGAGTGTGGTCCATCAGGCCCCTCCATCCACGGGGTTCTCCAGGCAAGAGGACTGCAGTGGGTTACATTTCCTGGTCGCTGTTACTAACGGACAGCTTTCTGTCTTCTGAGTTACCACGCTCCTGCTTCATGTCCTAGAGGACATGAGTGTTGGGTCTGTTGACTTCAATCAAAATTTAACCTTCCCTAATGTAAAATGAGAGACAAAACCCTAGAAGCCTAATTTCAGGGCCTAAATCCTAATTTCTATAGGTATTAGATCATTACATGCAGTGTGATCTATGGTTGCCATATTGAAATTAGACAAAAATTATATCTGACATTTTCTGAACACTTATTGTGTGAAAGGGATTATTCTAAGCAGCTTTCATTTACTATGTCATCTTAATCCTCAAAACAACTCTGTGATATAGGTACTATTATCTCTATTTTATAGATGAGAAAAGTGAAGGACAGAAAGGATAACAAGAGCCCAAGGTCATGACATACCTAGTAGCAACACTGGGATTTGAACCAGACTGTTCAAATGCATGAATTTTTTATTAACACTATGACATATGACTTCCTAAAATCAATGTTTTAAATATAAGTTATAGCTTGTCAAATAATTCCTGATAGGTATCATAGTATCAAGAAATGCATTCCTGTTATTGTAAGCATTCTAAGAGCTAGGTAAAATGCTGATAATATTACATTTCTATTTATACTTAACAAAGTCAGGCAAGCTAATAAGTATAAGGCTCAGGTCTTTTTTTAAAGTAGATTTTGAATACATATCATCAGTGTCTTGTTTTGTTACAAAATACACTTGCTTGTATTTATCTGAGTTTTACTTATTAAAGTTCTTCTCAAAGTTTTCATCTAACCTATTCTTCAGGAACATGGCTGGATTTGCTGATGAATTATTATAAATTCCTACATGCAATATAAGTGCTAGTTATTAACCTTCATAGGATATGACACTCTATTTAATAAATAGCAATATTGATTTTTTAATGATTTAAGTTCTGTCTTCAATTTTATTAAAGAAACTTACCCTAAACCTTTAAAACAGACTCTTATTCTAGCTAAACCAGGTGTATTTAGGTTATGAAAAAATTTTGATTGCTACCCATTCCTAAAGGACTCACTTTAACTTCAGAGAAGTGGGATTATCTTACCTTCTTGATTTCATATGTCAAGTTCTTTCAAAATGTATAAATCTATCAAGAAAATATCTTAAGTATACACTGGGTTTGAAAATGGATTTGAACCCTGCTAAATAAGTGAGAAATCTGAGACCCTAATCAACATTTTCAATTTCCTGATGAAAGATTTCTGGTACATGGGCACTGAGTTTCAGATTTTGATACTCAATCTTTTTGCAGGCTTTGATTATTTAAATTTTTTATTTTAAAGTCCCATCAGGTGAAAAGCATATAACTCTACATTCACTATTAAAGTACAGGTTTTTTTATAAGGGAAAAAATGTTGAAAGGGGATTTATTTTTTTTTTCTATTTTCTGTTTTACCAGATGTTCGAAGAAGAACAATTTATGAATACCACCGAGTGGAACTACAGATGTCAAAAATCACCAATATTTCAGCTGTGGAGATGACCCCATTGCCTAGTAAGTTAACGTGTAAACAAAACTGGGTGGGAAAACAATTTGCAGGTTTGATGATCTGGTCTATTTATGCATGGGTCTCTGGATCCTGCATATATATGGGGATGCGTGGGTGATTTCAATTTTAGTGGCGTTGTCTTTTTTTTTTCCCCTCCTCTTCATGCTGCCAATTCGTCTTGATGCATCCATTCTCTCCTGTTTCCTAGCATGTCTCCAGTTCAATGGTTGCGGCCCCTGTGTATCCTCTCAGATTGGCTTCAACTGCAGTTGGTGTAGCAAACTTCAAAGGTAAAAGAGAATAATGCAGCACATTTAAAAACTTTGTGAAGCCTTGTTCCTTGTACTCTTCCATTGAGTTTTGAATGTGTAAGGTGTGTTGACTGGGTATACATGAACAAATATACATGTGTTTTAAAAAAAAAAAGAAAAAAAACACCAAAATGCTCAGATGACGAAATTGTCATATTTTTCTGTTTGCTCAAAATGACTAGCAATCTTTGTAGTCCATACGATAGTTATCTGACCTACTTCTAATCACAATGGGGCTTAAGATAGATGATGGTGATGGATGAATCTATAAATTGATACTATTGGTTCATAGTCTTCAGAAATCATGATATGATATATCTTCACAGTAACAAGGATGTTTTATGCTTAATCACATTAACATTCTTAGCAAATTCCTATAAATATCTCAGAGGTTACCAACCAGGATTGGAGGTTTAGTCAGAGGCTGAGGAACAGGATGACACTAACTGATCTGTGCTACATAAATAAAATGTGTGGTTTGGGCCTGAGTTGTAACTAACTGACTTTGAAACTTAAGCTGCATCACTCGCTGATGTCAAAGAGTTTTACCGATTTTCATGAATGCAAAGAGGATTTTTCAGTCTGTAGGGTTTTTCAGAGACTGGATGATCATTTGTTGGAAATACAGAGTGAAGACATTTAAATGTGTTTTATATACTCAACCATTTTGTGCACTAGTTATGTCCCAAGTGCTGGGAGAGCAGCAGTGGGTCATATAGATCGACCCACTCCAGTATTCTTGCCTGGAAAATTCCGTGGACAGAGAAAGAGGGGTCAGGCCGACTACAGCCCATGAGGCCGCAAGAGTCAGACATGACTGAGTGACCTTCCCTTTCACTTTTCACTTTCACTTTTTTCACTTTTACTGCCCACCAGGGAACTTCCAGTGTGTCTGAGAATAAGTCCCCTCAGAGTTCATGAAAAATCTGCTTCTTGCTCCAGGAGCAGAACTGAGTCTTCAGGTTCCTACATGTTCCGCCAGAGCTTTCTGTTTTATAAGAAGCCAGTGCCTTATCATCTTACTGCAGCCTTTGCTGTGATGATAGAGGCATGTTCAGGAAGACTTTAGAAGTTACTGAAGCTTAAAGAATAGAATTCCAATTCCTTGATAACAAGCTTTTGGAAACATGTGTAACTTGCTGAGTTTAGGACAACCACTATAATATAATAGAGTAATATAGTATTTACTGTAACTGCTGCTTTATTTTCAACGCAACATGTTGTTCCAATAATTTCCTTTGTGCAATGAATTGCAAATAATGCAAAATCAAGCCAGCTATTCATGTTCTTAAAAGTAGATTCTTGGCTGTCTCTCCAGAGTGGGAAGAACTACTATAAAATTAAGGATTTATAGTCCTTTAGATTCAGATATTGCTGACAATGCATACAAATTACATACAGATCAGAAGTTAGTCAAAATCTGTTTAGATGATGACCAAAATGAACCTAAAGATATGGCATTTTAGTATGTATATTTAAATAATACTGAACTAAAACATGAAAAATGCCCAGAAGAATGAAGTAGAAGGTTTTGATTTGGGGTGCAAACTTAATTCAAGTTCCAGTTTAGTGTTCACCAACTTTCCTTCATCTGAGTCTGTGTGCGGTGCCCAAATGCTGTGGTTCCTGGCATGGGTACATCTGTGCTCAGTCATTCAATCATGTCCTACTCTTTGCAATCCCATGGACTGTAGCCCCCCCACCCCAGGCTCCTCTGTCCATGGGATTTCCCAGGCAAGAATACTGGAGTGGGTTGCCATTTCCTCCTCCAAGGGGAGCTTCCCGACCCAAGGATCAAACCTGTATCTCCTGAGTCTTCTGCATTGGCAGGAGGATTCTTCACCATTGAGCTGCCCGGGAAGCCTGTGGTTCCTGGCATTCTGCACCAAGCTCTATGTTTAGCATCTTGCTCAGGGCTATGGACGTTTGTCTCTTATTGGTCTCCTCTGCTAGGCTCTGAGTTTATTAAAAGTGAATTGTCTCCATATCTCCACAGCCTAAGGATGTACCTGCTACTGCAGAAACATGAATGAGTGAATGATTGATAGTTAGGTTCCAAATGAAGGAATCATGAGTCAGTTTGTCTGGGAATGAAATGTCTCACAGGATGAGGGACGTTCAGTGCTGAAACCAGGAACGTTGACAGAAAACCAGGATGAACTAGCCACCTCACCTAGAGAACTATTAGGACAATTCTCGACTGAAATAATGTTATTATAAATGAAGGTTTGGGACACTAGTCTAGAAATCTACCTTCCACTAACCATTCATTATTTTTTAAAAACATTTTTGATGTAAATATATGTTTAGGGTTTCAAGCAAGCAAGTTTGACAATCAAAACACGTCCACAAGTCACAAACTTCTTTATACTGTTAATGCTCCCATTTTATTGAGAAGTTTCTCTGACATACATCGTTCCAAGGAATTTCCAAAGATATTTAATTCATCCAACATTTTTATAGTTGAGGAAACTGAGGCTTCCAGGAGTTAAGTCATTTTTGTACGATCTCAGAGCTCTTCAGTGATGAGTTTGGAATTGAAACTCAATCTGTGTGACTTCTAGCCTTCTGGGGATTTTTTGTTTATTTGTTTGTTTAATTGGAGGATAATTGTTTGACAGTGTTGCATTGGCTCCAGCCTGCCATTTTGATGTCTCACCTTTTCTGCCTCACACAGACCAGGCCACAGGTGTACTAAGCTACTTAATCTTAACCACTTCCTGATAAACAGTTGACATCCTATGGGAAAATGAATATTTCTGTAATTGAGGGTGAAGAAAATTACATGGTTTTGAAATTGACATGAAAAGAATGCAGAAGAGAATCAAGCAAAGCATGACTTTTATGTATTACTGAAAGCATAGGGGTTTTTTTTTTAAGATTAATGGAAAAAGAAGGGTGATGATGCATATGAATGAGGAAGGAATTTGTCAAAGAAGAGTATTAAAGAAAACTTCAAGTTTTCTGCATGTTACCATTTGGTCACCAAATAGTAACATGCAGAAAACTTGAAGTTTGTTTGGTATGCAACCAAACACCAGTTTAAAATCTTGGATTTAATTTTAATTTATCAGCAACTCAGTTATATACATATCAAGACCTGCTTAATTAATTGGTTTAACTATGGCTCATTGCACTTTTGTTCAACTTAATTTCCCCACTGCATTTTATTAATTTCTCCTTAGGCCTGTGAGCATCAAAACTTCGCTTTTGCTGCCCAGTAGCATTTCCCTAGATTTTAGAGCTTTTTTTAACAAATTCAATAAAACAAGAGACATCTTATCCTAAGGAGCATGAAAATTGCCTCTCAGACTCTTTTCTTCCATGCTTCTTACGTTGCCCTTTGTGCTTTTTTATCCCTGAATGATAATCAGTTGGTGGCAATTACTGAATTCTCAAGTTGGGCTTCCTCTAAAAAGATAAGATAATTTTAATTGGTTTATTTATTTCCTTTAACTCCCATTTTTCAACAAACCAAAACCAAGGCAAAATGTTTATTATAGCTTCAAGGTCTAAAGGAATTTGAGTTATAGGAACATTTAATGAGATCGATGATCAAAAATGTTTTCTTGGAGGAATTCCCCATTGGTTCAGTGTTTAAAACTCAATTGTTTCTCTGCCTTGGGCCTGGGTTCAATCTCTGGTCTGGGAACTAAGAAGCTGTAAGCCACACAGTATGGCCCACAGAAAAAATTTTCTTGGGATAGGTGGTCATTACTTCTAGACAAGATTGTTTTTATTTCTTCAATGAAAGCTGAGAGGACCTGAATCAACCACTTTCACCCATACCTTTTATCTTCACTTGTTCCACAAAAAAAATTTTAGTATCTCTATGTTTAAGTTAATATCCTAGATTGTGATGTCAATAGTAAATGAGAGAAAATTACTTCTCTCATAGAGCTTACATGTTTAGTAAGCAAGATAGAATTTAAGCAAAGAGATATGCAGGAAATAAAGTTAGTAGTGGAGAGTGCTAGGCCAAAGGAAATAAATAGGACATCAGAAGGTAAAATATAGCAAAACTGATAAGAATAACAGGAGTGTACGTGTTGGTTTCATGCTAAGTAAAATTGTCTTTGTGAAGAGACCTTGGTTTCATCAGCTATCACCTTCCAAATGTTTAGTTTTTAACTGAAAATATTGGGTTGGTCAAAAAGTTTGTTCTAATTTTTCCATACACTGTTATGGATGTTACGAACATTTTGGCAAAGCCAATATATTTTGGCTCTTAAAGTACTTATTTACTCATTCATTTACTTAAAAATGTATTGACTGCTTCCCACATTGATCTAAACAGCAAGTGTTAGTCTAAGCACTGAGCTAGTTAGAAAACTAGTGAGGCATCCATCAAGGCAAAGTTCTCATGCAGCTTAGAGTTTAGCATATTAAACTGGAAAATAAATGAATCGATAATTAAATTAAAAAGTCAGTTGATAATGAGTGGTCTGTCAAGTTTAGAGAGTTGGTACTTGTTCTGGACTGAGTGGCCAGGTAAGGCTTCTTGGGAAGAGTGACAGTTAAACTTAAATCTAAACAACTGGGAAAGATTGAGGACAGGAGGAGGAGGGCATGGCAGAGGATGAGATGGTTAAACAGTATCACAGACTCAGTGGGCATGAATTTGAGCAAACTCCAGGAAATAGTGAAGCACAGAAGAGCCTGGCGGGCTACAGACCATGGAGTCACAAAGAGTCGGACACGACTTAGTGACAACAATAACAACAAAACAACTGGGAACCAGCTACACCAAAGTGAAAGGAAAGAGCATTTCAAAGGGAGACAGATTGTAATGGATTAGAAATGAAGGCAAAGAAAATGCTATGAATCCAGGATACTTCCTAAATTTTTGTTTGACAAGTGTGATGGATGCTGATGCTCACTTTTTGAGATAGGCAAGATGGCATATGAGAAAGAGGCTAGGGTAAAGAGAAATAAAGGGTTTGGTTGGGGTAAACTCTTTAATAAATAAAGACTAAGTT